TGTACTAGTTTATGTTTTCATCAACAATGAAGGAGGGTTCTTTTTCTTTTTTAACCACAGACTCACCAGCATTTGTTATTGTTTGATTTCTTTTCTTTTCTTTTCTTTTCTTTTTCTTTTTTTTTTTTTTTTTTTTTTTTTTTTTTTTTTTTTTTTTTTTTTTTTTTTTTGGTACTGGGGACCGAACTCCGGTTCTTGCACTTGCAAGGCAGGTGGCGGAACCACTGAGCTAAATCCCTGGCCCTTGTTTGATTTCTTAATGATTATCATTCTTTCTGAAGTAAGATGGAATCTTAGAATTGTTTTAACTTTCATTTCTCTGATGGCCAGAGATAGTGAGCATTTTTAAATATATTTGTTGAACATTTGTATTCCTTCTTCTGTGAAGTGTCTGTTCATTTCTCTTGCCCGTTTCTTGACTGTGTCTTTAATTTTAGGTGGTTTAATTTTTTTTACTTCTTTGTATATTCTACAAATTAGTCCTCTGTCTGAGGAGTAGCTTGCAAAAATTTTCCCCCTTATCTTCACTCTATTAATTCTTTTGTTGTGCAGAGGATTTTTAGGCTGATATGATTCCATTTGTTGACTCTTGTTATTTCTTATGAAATTGAGGTTTTGTTTAGAAAATCATTTCCTACACCTATGTCTTCAAGTATCTTACCTATTTTATCTTCCAGTAGGTTTAATGTTTCTGTTTTAATGTTTAAATCTGTGATCCATTTTTATTTTAATTTAGTATATAGTGAGAGATATGGGTCCAGTTTCAATTTTCTGTACACATGATAACCAGTTTCCCAGCAGCATTTGTTGAACAAGCTACCTTTCCTCCAACATATGATTTTGGCCCCTTTGTTGAAGATCAAATAGCTGATTGTATCTGGGGAAGTTTCTGTATCCCCAATTCTGTTCCACTGATACAAGAATCTGTTTTTGTTCCAGTATCATGCAGTTTTTATCACTTTGTAGTATAGCTTGAAGTCAGGTATTGCTATGCCGCCTGCTTTACTCTTGTTGCCAAAAATTGCTTTTGCTATTCTGGGTCTCTTCTGGCTCCATATAAATTTTAGGACTTTTTTTTTAGATATGTAAAGTATGCTGTCAGTATAGTGATTGGGACTGCATTGAATTTGTATAACAGTTTTGGGAGTATGGCCATTTTGACAATATTGACTCTACCTAACCAGGAGCAGGGGACATCGTTCCATTTTCTGATATCATCTTCAGTCTCCTTTCTCAAAGCATTTTAGTTTTCTTTGTAAAAGCCTTTCACTTCCTTGATTAGGTTAATTCCTAGGTATTTCATTTTTCTCTAAGCTACTGTGAATGGTATTATTTTCATAATTTTCATAATTTCCTTCTCATCCCATTCATTTTTGGTATATACCAATGATCTTGTATCCTGCTGCATTACCGACGTTTTTTTCATTTTGTTTTTTGAGACAGGGTCTCATTAGGCAGTTCAGGCTGGTCTTGAACTCACTTGGAGGCCAAGCTGGCCTTGAACTCTAAGCAATCCTCCTGCCTCAGTCTCTCAAGTGTTGGGATTACAGACTTGCACCACCATGCTGGCCTGAAGTTTGTTATTAATTCAAGAGGTTTGTTTTGTTTTGTTTTGTTTTTGGTACCAGGGATCAAACTCGGGACCTTTCGCTTGTGAGGCAGGTGGCAGCACCACTGAGCAAAATCTCTGGCCCAATACTAAGAATTTTTGATGGAGTTCTTTGGGTCTTCTATGTAGAGTGTCAAGTCATCTGCAAACAATGATAATTTGTGAGCCAAGCATGGTGATGTGATGCACATCTGTAATCCCAGTACTTGGGAGGCTGAGGCAGGAGGATGGCGATGAGTTTGAGGCCTGTCTGGCCTACATAGAGAGTTCAAGGCCGAACTGAACTACCTAGCAAGACTGTTTCAAACAAACAAGCAATCAAGGAATGATAATTTCAGTTCTTCCTTTCCTATATGTAGTATCTCTTTTATTTCTTTCTCTTGCCTAATTTCTCTGGCTAATGTTTCAAGTACTATAGTGAATAGAAGAGGTAATAGTGGACATCCTTATCTTGTTTCTGATTTTAGGGGGAATGCTTTTAGTTTTTCCCCATGTAGTATGGTGCTGGCTATTGGTTCATCATATATAGCTTTTATCATATTCAGGTATGGTCCTTCTATATCTATTTTCTGCAGAGTTTTTTTTTATCATTAAAGGGTGTTGAATTTTGTTGAAAGCCTTTTCTGCATCTACTAATATGATCATAAAGCTTTTGACCTTGCTTCTGTTTATGCGATGCATTATATTTATGGTCTTACATATGTTGAACCATCCTTGCATCTCTGGGATGAAACCTACTTTTTCATGATGTATTATTTCTGATAATGTGCTGCATTCTATTTGCTAATAGCTTATTGAGGATTTTTGCATCTATGTTCACTAAGAAGATTGGCCTATAGTTCTCTTTTTCAGTTGAGTCTTTATCTGATTTTAGGGATCAGGTGATACTGGTTTCAATTAATGAATTTGGGAGCGCTCCACCCCGGGATTTCTGTGATTTCTCCTCTTTCATTCCTTATTGTATAGATTTGGGTCTTTTCATTGTTTTGATAAGGTTGTCTAAGGGTTTGTCTGTTTTATTTAATCTTTCAAAGAACCAACTCTCCATCAGTTCCTTGTATTATTTTCTTAGTCTCCATTGCATTAATGTTTGCTCTGATCATTATAATATCCTTCCTCACATGAATTTTGGGTTTAATTTGTTCTTCTTTTTCTAGAAGCTTGAGGTTTAACATTAGGTAATTTACCTGAGCTCACTGTTTTTCCGCTGTGCGAATTCAGCCCTATAAGTTTCCCTCATAGGAGTGCTTTCATTGAGTCCCATAAGTTCCAGCATATCATATTGGCATTATTGTTTAACTGGAGAAACTGCCTAATTTCTTTTTTAATTTCATCTGCTACCCATTGGTTGTTCAAGAGGGTGTTATTTAATTTTCATGTATTTATGTAGTGTTTCTGGTTTCCTTTGCCATTGATTTCTGATTTCATTGCACTATGATCTAATAATATGTGTGAAATAATTTCAATTCCCTTACATTTACTTAAGCATGTTCTATGAGCTAGAATATGGTCTGTTTTGGAGAACATACTATGTGCGGCTGAGAAGAGTGTGTATTCTGTTGTTGTGGGGTAGAACACTTTGCAAATATCTACTAAGTCCATTTATTCAAAAGTTTGGCTCAGTCTTGATATTTCACTGTTAATTTTTTTGTCTAGTTGGTCTATTTGTGACAGTAAGGCATTGAGAACCCCCGTTACAATTGTATTAGTGCTTATTTGACTTTTCATGTCCATTAATATTTGTTTTGATTTTTGGTACTGGGCATCAAACTTGGGACCTTGCACTTGTGAGGAAGGTGACAGAACCACTGAGCTAAATCCCCAGCCCCATTAATATTTGTTTTATGTAGTTGCTGTGCTGATATTTGATGTATCTATATTTATGATTGTTATCTCTTTCTCTTGGATTGCTACTTTTACAAGGATGTAATGACCTTCTTTGTCTCTCCTCAATCTTGGCTTGAAATCTACTTTGCCTGTAAACTCTTGCCTTTTTTCAGGGTTTTTGAGACATGGAGTATTATTTTTCATCGAATGACTTTCAGTCTATAAATTTCTTTTTGAGTTAAATGTGTTTCTTGTGTGCAGCATATTGTTGAATCTTGTTTCTTTTTAAAATAATTATTGTATTTCATTATCACTACAATTTAATTTGCTCTTTTTTTTTTTTTTGATACCAGGGATGGAACTCAGGACCTTGCGATTGCGAGGTAGTCAGTGGCACCGCTGAGGTAAATTCTGGCCTTTGGATCTTGTTTCTTGATCCATTCTGCCAATCTGTTTCTTTTTATTGGTGAATTGAGACCATTCATATTGATGGTTATAACTGATAGGTATTAACTTATCCTTGTCATTATGTTATTTTCCTGTTGTTTGTTCCCCCTTTTTTCCATCTGTTTTATTACTTGCCTTGCCTGGTGTATTCATTCTATTGGGATTTATGGAATTGTTACCTTTATTATCTTGTTTTAGAATATTCTTGACAAGTTTTTAGAGTGCTGGTTTGGTGGTCATGAATTTCTTCAGGTGTTCTTTATCATGGAAGTATCTTATTTCTCCATCAATTTTGAAAGATAACTTTGTGGAATATATCAATCTAGGTTGGAGCTCTCATTGCCTTAAGAGTTTTTTTTTTAATAAAAAAAAGTTGTATGTACTTAGAAGCATTCAAAATGTCAACAAAATAGCTGCAACTTTTTTTTGCAATTACAGAGTGGTATTCAGTTAACAGAACAACATTTCATATAAGCTGCATCAGAGACAAATGAAGATGAAAAACTTCCATTCCTGTATGTAATTAATTAGTGCTGTGCACCAACAAGAACCTGCTTTACATTTCCATGCCAGTTTACAATCCCCATACTGTACCAGGCAAGGTCAGTGGGTACTGAAATACCACCAGGACAGGGCTATCTAAAGACACATTTGATAGTGTGTTGAAGATACAAAAAAAGACACTGTACAGTTTAAAAACAAATCTTACACAGCCTTACATTTCAATTTTTTTCTTTAAAAGAAGTGAGTTATGTAGGGGAAGTGGGAAGGTGAGGGGAGGGGAAATAAGGGAAAAGAAAAAAATGAGAAAATGGAAATAAAGTATTTTTAAACAGGGAAGGGAGGAGGGGGTGAAGGGAGGGCAGTGATAAGGGGGGAAAATGAGAACCAAGACCTGTCATGTAAAGGTACAAGATCCCAATGATGAATGTAACTGTACTGTATACCTAAAATGTACCAATAAACTCAATGAGAAAAAAAAAGAAGTGAGTTGTGTACAGGGGGGTTAAATGCCTTATAGGCAAGAAAAAAAAACTGCCCTAGAACCAACTTATTCATCATTATCTTCTTCATCTTCCTCCTCCTCCTCCTCCTCTTCCTTCTTTTTATTGCTTTTTCAGCCTTGACAATTCCCTTTTTTTGGTGCATCAGGGTTTCCTTTAGCTCGATAAGCAGCAATGTCCTTTTCATACTTTTCCTTCAGCTTGGCAACCTTCTTCTCATAAGGCTGCTTGTCACCTGCTGCAGTATTATTCCACATTTCTTCCAGCTTCTTCGCAACATCACCAATGGAGAGGCCAGGATGTTCCCCTTTGATTTTTGGGCGATACTCAGAACAGAAAAAGAAGGCGGAAGGAGTACTCTTGGGCACATTGGGATCCTTGAACTTCTTTTTTCTTTCTCCTTTAGGAAGGCTATAGGTTTTCATTTCTCTTTTATAACAGGCCTTGTCTGCCTTTGCCATGTCTTCAAGTTTTCCTTTCTCTTTGGCAGGCATGGTCTTCCACCTCTCTGAGCACTTCTTAGAAAACTCCGAGAAGTTAACAGAAGCATCTGGGTGCTTCTTGTGCTCCTCTGGGCAAGTTTGCACAAAGAATGCATATGATGACATTTTGCCTCTCAGCTTCTTAGGATCTCCTTTGCCCATGTTTATTTGTTTTCCTCAGCGAGGCATAGAGTCACCCTTGCCCGTCCAGCTCTCACTTGACCTGTCACTGTCTCTGTGGAACTCAACGTACTCGCCATTAAGCATTTGTGTTGAGAAGTCTGTCGTGATTCTCATGGGTTTTCTTCTATAAGTGATTCGTTTCTTTTCTATAACAGCTTTTTATAGTCTGTTCTTGTGATAAAATTCTGGAATCTTTATTATATGCCTTGGAGTAGCTTTTTTCTGATCATGGCTATTTGGAGTTCTATCTGCCTCACTTATTTGTATGTCTAATTCCTTTTCCAGTTATTGGAAAGTTTTCTCATATTGCTGCTGTGAACAAGTTTTTTTATGTCCTTTGTGCTATCTTCTGATTTTTCATTAATTCCAATTAATCTTATATTAGTCTTCTTTGTCTCATCTAGCAGTTGTTGTACGGTTTTTTGTAGTTCCCTTCTGTTTTTAAGAAGTCTTTCATGTGATGTTTACCAACCACAACCTTGTTCTCTACATTTGATATTTTATCTTCACACTGTTTGACTCTGCTGTGTATACTTGAAATAGTATTTTTAATCTCCTGGACTTCTATTTGAGTCTGTTTATGGAATCTGGTTCTTTTCTGTGTTGGGCACTCCTAAACTCTTCTATTTTTTTTTTAAATCTGTACGCACTCTAGATTCAATAACCATTTCTCTCATTTTTGTCATCATCTCTTTATCTGTGTAATTATTTCTCTTTTGGCTTTGTTAAGAGACTTATTCATCTGTTTTGTTACTTCACTGCTACCATTTCAGAAAATTCATCTGGGTGGCTTTTGATTTCTTCCCCCTCACTGCTCCCTGAATTTTCCTCAGGTGAGTTGAATAATGCGGTTTCATCTTGCTTCTATGTTTTCTCATTTTCTGGTTTTTTATTCACTTATTTATTTATTGAGGCTTGTAAGTTGCTTATGGTAGGTAATTTTATTGCTAGTATCAAGACCGCCTTAGGAAATGACTACATTTCAGAAATGTGTTCTAGGTGTAGCTGGCTCTTTTGGCCTTTGAGTCTGTCCCGGGATACTGCCTATTCCATTTATTAGGGATGAAAAATTGCAGCCTGTTTGGCCTAGCACCCAGTGCTTTGGTACTGGAGTGTCTGTCATATTTATGACCCCAAGACAATCTAGGTATTGGCATAGAAGGAAGATCAATTGATCATAAAAACTATGTCACCTTGGCTAAAGTTGTACAGTCAGCAATAACAATAGCATCAAACACAGACTAGAAAATGATAAACTGTGATAACTAATAATTTGCCATCTTTAACCATAGGTACAAGATTTGTAGTCATATAATAAACTCTAAGATAAATGAGAAAATTATATACAGTAAATATCTACTCAATAGAGTAGCTTTTCCCTAAGGGGAGAAAATTTAAAACAGAGAAGAGGAAAAAATAGAGAAATGAAAGAAAAAGGTATTAGAAGCCAGGTATTGTGGCAGGGATCCATCTCCCGCCTTCTTTTCTTCCCCAAGTTTTTTTTCCAGTGTCTAGATTCCAAATCTTGGAAAGGCTTATTTATTGCTGCTTACTGCCCCATCTTCTGCCCAGAAGTATTTTTTTTTTGTACTGGGGATCAAACTCACGACCTTGTGCTTGTGAGGCAGGCAGTAGGAACACTGAGCTAAATCCCCGGCCCTTATTCTTTCTTAATAAAGAAAATAAATTTATTTCTCATAGATTTGGAGGTTAGAAAGTCCTACATCAAGGTTCTGGCATCTGATGAGAGCCTTGTTAAGTCATAACACAGCAGAGGGCATCACATTGAGAGGGGAGAGAGGGAGGAAATGCTTATCTTATTTTTTACTATGTGACAGAGTTTTGCTAGGCTGCCCAGGCTGAGCTCAAATTTGTGATCCTCCTGCCTCAGCCTCTTGAACAGCTAGGATTATAAGTTATCATTACTTTTATTTTCTGCTGTTCTTGTAGATATGTAGTGATACTTTACTATGTTGCTAATTTTCATAAAGTGCCTCACTCTATGAAAACATATGAAGACTTCTCAGAGGCATTCCAAAAAACAAAGAGAAGCAATAAGCATACACAGCACACACACACACACACACACACACACACACACATTTAACAACATCATTTAGCAAAATGTCCATAGAATAGTAGTTAACACAGACTAGATCAGGCCTTCCTATCAACCACTGGCTAAGGACCACCTCCCCAGCAATCTTCAAGGGCCCTGGTCCCGCCTAGGGACCTGCCTAACTCCCAAATAAGTAGCCCATAAGTCACTTCTTGGGAAAATTCCCAACTCAGGCACAGGTGCAAAACACCTCAAGGTGTCTGAATAACCTTTGGCCAAGGACAAACTCATTATCTACTCATCCATATGGGTTGCATCTCAGGGGTGTACTTATAACAGCGTGAATTGTGGGAAAGGACAGGCACGGTTAACACAAAGGACGTAACTCCGCATGAGGTGTCACATACACCCAGGATAACCCTGTGGGACTGACTTAGGCTCTTCATCAGAAATAAAGGACCACTTCCACCATCCCCAGGGCCACTGTGAGCCTTTTCACTGGCCTATTCTCACTCTGCAGAATGAATTTCTTTCCTGCCTTCGATAAATATACACTTTCACTGCCTCTTCTGTGTGTCCTGTCCAATTCTTCAGAACACCAAGAACTGGAAAGAAGCCCTACAGGATCCTCCATTCATTAACATCATAAAGACAGTCTATTCAGAGAAATTGTCTTCATGATGGAAATTATTGTAACTTTTTATTCCAGATATTTGCTGGTGGAGATTATTTACCTTAATTAAGTACCTTAATGAGTTAGCTAGAGGGGCAGGGCTAAGCCCACAGCCGGAAGCTGATAGAACTGACCTGAAGTACAAATAAGAATCTTAGTCCAAGCATAGCTTCAATAAGAGGGACCTCAGAGAAGTGGATTTTGTGAAAGGTTTACACATCTCTTGACTACAAGTACCTCGGGCTCATATCTTAACCATATAATATATGGGGCTCATATATTAACCATCTCTCTAGCTTCTGTAGACTGGAGGTAACTCAGCAAATATTTGTTGATGAAATTGAATGGAATTAAACAAGCCAAGAATGATGTCAAGGATTTCCAAACAAGCATGTCAGAACAGGCAGGGTAAATTACCACAAAAAGTCTGAGAACAGTATTCCTGAATGTAGCAGAGACAGATGGATGCACAGGACTGGCAAAACTCCATTGGAAAAAGAAGACAAAACATTGCCAAAAATTTGGAAAACCTATCTATAATCATATCTCACTACTAACAACTGTTATTTTTGTTTATTCTCTTAGAATGGGTGTCCATATGTATATTACTTGTCATTCACTAATTTATTCAACAACTATGTATTGAGCACATGTGCCAGGCATGTTCTGCACATGGTTGAACATGGGATGTAATCAAAATTTGCATACCATTTTGTAGCCTGCCTGTCTACTTATTGAGTATAAACCAGTATTTCTCACAGTGTGTTTGGCTGAGCACAAACTGCCCCATGACAAGAAAGTTCCATGATCAAGGAAGCTTGGGAGAAGTTTAGAGCCTTTCTTGTGGCTGTGCACTACTGGTTGTTTTTTCTAGCTGATGTGTGAACTGTGGATAGCTCCACGGCTCATCCTGAGCTCTCTTCTCTTTTCCGTTTATGCTGGTTTTCCAGGTGAACTCATCTAGCCTCGGGCTTTAAATTATCATGTAAATTGTGGGATCCTTTGTGACACTTAAGCACATTACTGTATCTAGATTAATGGAACCACCTCTAAAGTCCCAACTGGGCAATTTATGGAGAGATCGACTCAAAAATAAAAAATCAAAAGGGTTGAGGAAAGCTCCAGGTTCAATTCCTAATACAACTCCCAGAAACTGAGGCTCAGGGAAGCAAATAAATTTGCCAAAGATCATACAACCAGTGAGGAGAAGAACCAAGATTTGCATACATATCTGCCTAAATATGATGCCTCTGTCATTTTCACTCCATGACACTGTGACATAAAAGAAATATTTCGGCTAGGGGCTGGGGATTTAGCTCAGTTGTTCCACCACCTGCCTCACAAGCGCAAGGTCCCAAGTTTGATCCCTGACCCCCCCAAAAAAAACATCTGCTAGCATTTCCTGTTCCTCCCCCCAAAGCATAGGACATTATTAACATGTTTTGAAAGTAGCAGATCCAAAAGCTTTCTTTACTGCTAATCTCAGAGCTTTTATTATACATTCATTCATGCCACACGTATTGGGTACATTGACACTTAAGGTGTTGGGGATATAGTAATGAGCCTGACACAAGATCCCCGCTCTCATGAAGCTTCTACTCCAGTTAGAAGTGACAGAAACAAGGTCCCATACAGGGAAACACCTCAAATTACTTCAGGTAGAAGCAAATTCTGTGCAGGGAATTGATGGGGTGATATGCTAGATGGGAACAGGAGGGAAGGCTACTTTTGAAGGTGTTATGGCTTATGTTTAGATGCCCCTTCAAAGCCTCATGAAAAATGAGGTGGGACTTTTTCAGAGGTGGCTGTATCTATAGTGTGTGATGCTGGAATTGATTCATGGTGCAGTGCTAGGCTCAAGGGCACTAGGATTAAGGCTGTGAGTGCTACCTGCCCTAAGTAGACTGGATAAAAGGGACAGGAAGACACTGTTAAAGTTCCTTGTTGTTTTTGCTATCTTGTGTCCACCATGAACTTTTGCCCCTGTGCCATGTGTCACCCTGCCTTGGAGCCAGCTGATTATGGATGGAAGCCTCTACTGCCTCTACAAACTGTGTGCTAAGTAAACCTTTCCCCTTTTATTTACTTTTTTTTTTTTTTTTCATACCGAGGATAGAATTCAGAACCTTGAGCTTGCCAGGCAGGCACAGTGCCACTACGCCAAATCCCCAGGCCAACCTTTCCCCTTTTAACTTTGGGTGTTTTGTCTTACCAAGAAGAAAAGTAACCAACACAGAGGGGAAGATCACAGAAGCTTTCTTGGGGGGTGACTTTGGGGTCGAGACCTAAAGAAGCCAGGAGGGAAGGAGGGTAAGAGACAGTAAGTGTA